CTTCGGTGCTATAGTCAAAATGGTGGATTTGGTTTGTAAAAAAATAGGTCTATAACAATAGGGATTACTATATGTTTGAAAAGAGAACAAATCCCAGGTTAAAATCCATATTATCCTTATAAACTCAACCTTCTTTTTAATTATAATACTCTTTAGATAATATGTGTTAAGAGCGTTATTCTTATACTGGAGCTTTATTAAAAAGAAGGTTTATTAGAATACTGGAGTTTATAGAAGGTTGAGTTTGTTGTTTAAGAAGAAGGAGAAGATGATTAGGAAAAGAGCATTGCTACGGTGTCCGAATAATTATTTTATAATAAATTTATTAAAAAATAATAATTTTTTATTTATTTGGACAAAATTTTGGCTTTTTTTTCGGACGATACATGTACAACATTTTCCTTAAAAAAAATGCATTCAAGATTGTAGATTAGTAAGTAAGAGTGAATATAAATAATGATATTTAAAAGGTGCACAATATAAGAGTTTCGTAATGACCAACTGTCAATAATGAACAATCAATTACAATGATAATCATAACTAATGTATCTTAAACATTTCAGATCAATTAATTAACTTTGAGATACAAGGTAACATTTATTGCAGCTAGAAAATTGTTAGGTTGATGATGTTTTGCCAAAAAGATAACATATGAAATTTTGGCTGAAAATTTTGGTTGTTGATTCTAAAAAAAAAGATTATTGAGATAAGGTTAGTTGAAACTATATTTGAAATTTAAAAAATTCATATGACCCAAAAGCCAAGGATCACATTCCAAAATGATTGAGAAGCACTATGGAGAGAGGGTCCTAGAAATTAAAGGATATCCCTAAAAAAGAGGAATTGGAGATGTGCAATAAACGTAAAATTAGTTAAAATCGAATCAAACTAGCTAAATAGTGACATGATGCTTTGAATAATGACGGAAATGCACGACAACAACTTGGCTAATTTATTAGTATAATATAAATTATTGAATTCATGTATTTAAAATTCAAAAGACACAATCAATCAAACACATTATCTTTTTCAAATCAATTATCTTTTCAATCATTTAGCTTTCCAATTTTATTGTTTTATTTTAACTCTTGTAACTGCTTTCTGATTTTATCTTTCGTTACTGCTTTTTGTGAATTTCACATACCAATCAACAAACTCTCTTATGATAGTCAAACCACCTAAACTAAAACTCAAATTTTGTAATCGTTTTGGAGCTAGCTTAGCTGAAGTCTATTTGGCTGGTCTCAATCTAACAACGTGATAAAAATGTCAACAAATGTTATGAAAACAAAATTAAATGTTCGTGTGATGTTTCAAAGGTGCAATAGATCTCAAAATCAAACACCGATTATTTCACATTCACGAAGAAAACAAGTTAAGAAAAACAAACAAAACATAACTAATTAGAAATATCGAAGTAATGACCAAGAGATAAAAATAAACCGAAAAATGCCTAAATCCTACTGAAATTTTCCCAATGACTAGCCAATTGAAGCAAGGTTTGTGCAGAAGAACCATCCTTTAATGCATTAGTAGCGAAATCTCTTAAATTCCTCATTCTTTCACACATTTCTTTACCTTCTTCCCCTTCCATCAGACACTTTACCACCTTTGCGATTTCCTCCTTCTCCACTATGCCTTCATCATTCAATTTTGGCCTTAATGCCACTTTAAGTCCATTGGTTAACAACACAGCATTCATCTTCTGCTCTGCAAAGAGTGGCCATGTTATTAAAGGCATTCGCTCTTGAACACTCTCCAAGGTTGAGTTCCAACCACAATGGGTTAGGAATCCACCAACTGAATTGTGACTAGGGACCTGAACCTGAGGTGCCCATAAAGGCACAACCAAACCTTTATCCTTTGTCCTTTCCAAAAATCCACTTGGTAAGAATTGTAAAGGGTCCTCCTTTGTAGCTTCAAGGTAAGCAGAACAAGCTAAATAACTTGGTGCTCTCAAAACCCAAAAGAACCTTTGGCAACTCAATTCCAAACCATAAGCTAATTCATTGATTTGTTGTTTGTTGGGTAAACTTAAGATTAGTTAGGAGAATCCGAGATTCTCGGACTGTTTTTGGCCGAGATCAGAAATAAAATATTTTGTGGATCCGGAATTGACGGATCAGTTTTTCGTTTTTGAATTTCGAATTTCATGTACTCGGCCTTTAAAAGGCCATTCTTGCTGATTTTATAAAACAAGTCCCTTTCAGATAATTTGACCTATTTTAACAAAGTGATATCAGAGCTTGCAATCTGAGTGCCTGAGAAAAATACAGAAAGAGTGAGAAAATGTCGAAAGTAGTGAATGGGATGACAGTGCCACAATTGACACAGGAAACCAATTATGAAAATTGGTCTCTGCAAATGAAAGCACTCCTGCGATCACAACGTTTGTGGGAGGTTGTGCAAAAAGGATATGAGGAACCGGAGGAAGAAGAAGAACTGACGGTGACACAATTAGCTACGCTTGAAAAAATGCAAGCAAAGGACAGCTCAGCTCTGTATTTTCTCTATAATGCAGTAGACGAATTGGATTTTGAGAAGATTGGGAGCGCTGCGAATTCGAAAGAAGCGTGGGAGACATTGGAGGTGGCCCATAGAGGGAGCAGCCGAGTTAGGCAAATTCGGCTACAAACTCTCAGAGGAGAGTTTGAAAATTTAAAGATGGAAGACAGAGAACCAATAACCGAATTTGTATCTCGGGTACAGAAGGTGACGAACCAGCTGATGAGGAGCGGAGAACCAGTACCTGAGAACCGAATAGTAGAGAAAATTTTGAGGTCCTTAAATAAGGATTTCGACTATGTTGTTTGTGCAAAACCCAAAAGAACCTTTGGCAACTCAATTCCAAACCATAAGCTAATTCATTGATTTGTTGTTTGTTGGGTAAACTTAAGATTAGTTAGGAGAATCCGAGATTCTCGGACTGTTTTTGGCCGAGATCAGAAATAAAATATTTTCAAAAGAACCTTTGGCAACTCAATTCCAAACCATAAGCTAATTCATTGATTTGTTGTTTGTTGGGTAAACTTAAGATTAGTTAGGAGAATCCGAGATTCTCGGACTGTTTTTGGCCGAGATCAGAAATAAAATATTTTGTGGATCCGGAATTGACGGATCAGTTTTTCGTTTTTGAATTTCGAATTTCATGTACTCGGCCTTTAAAAGGCCATTCTTGCTGATTTTATAAAACAAGTCCCTTTCAGATAATTTGACCTATTTTAACAAAGTGATATCAGAGCTTGCAATCTGAGTGCCTGAGAAAAATACAGAAAGAGTGAGAAAATGTCGAAAGTAGTGAATGGGATGACAGTGCCACAATTGACACAGGAAACCAATTATGAAAATTGGTCTCTGCAAATGAAAGCACTCCTGCGATCACAACGTTTGTGGGAGGTTGTGCAAAAAGGATATGAGGAACCGGAGGAAGAAGAAGAACTGACGGTGACACAATTAGCTACGCTTGAAAAAATGCAAGCAAAGGACAGCTCAGCTCTGTATTTTCTCTATAATGCAGTAGACGAATTGGATTTTGAGAAGATTGGGAGCGCTGCGAATTCGAAAGAAGCGTGGGAGACATTGGAGGTGGCCCATAGAGGGAGCAGCCGAGTTAGGCAAATTCGGCTACAAACTCTCAGAGGAGAGTTTGAAAATTTAAAGATGGAAGACAGAGAACCAATAACCGAATTTGTATCTCGGGTACAGAAGGTGACGAACCAGCTGATGAGGAGCGGAGAACCAGTACCTGAGAACCGAATAGTAGAGAAAATTTTGAGGTCCTTAAATAAGGATTTCGACTATGTTGTTTGTGCAATAGAGGAGTCAAAGGATTTGACGACTTTGACGGTGGAGGAGCTCGCAGGGTCTCTTAAGGCCCATGAACAAAGAATAAAGAAAGGCAAAGAGCCTCTTGACCAAGCACTTCAGGCGAGATTGGAGTTTACTGGAGGACAGAGCACTCAGAAAGGAGGATCCAGAGGACGCGGCTCTCGTGGCCGAGGTGGACGAGGTAGAGGAGGACGTGGACAAGGTGGAAATGTGCAAGGCGATATTGGGACCGAGATTGGTGGAAGAGGGTCACAAAATTGGCATGGCCGAGGTAGAGGAAGGGACCAAGCAAGTCGGTCCAAATCCGAAGTAGAATGCTTTAACTGTGGTAAGATCGGTCACTATGCGAAGGAATGCTGGGGAGGAGGAACGTGCCAAAAATGTGGAAAACATGGACACCAAGCGAAGGAGTGCAGAACAGCAACATGTTACAAATGTGGCAAAATCGGCCACATAGCCAAGTATTGTAAAAATGACACTAGTGAGAAGAATCTCTTCTCAGAAGAAGGTAACGAGGAGGTAGGAGTTTTGATGCTGACAAGGAGCGATGAGTGCGAGACTAGCCGAGGTATGTGCGAGACCGAGGTTATGGTGAAGAACCTTAAATCCGAGTCTGGACCGAGGTTCACTGAAAACAAAACAGGTATAGAAGATAGCCCGGATACCTCCATCTGGTATTTGGACACAGGAGCTAGCAATCACATGTGTGGACAGGAGAGCCTTTTTAGTGATCTCGTCAAGCAGGAGGCCGGATCTGTATCTTTTGGAGATAACTCCAAAATAGCAGTAAGGGGATCTGGTACAATTCGTCATGTACAGAAGGACGGACGAGTTGGAGAAATCAGAAATGTTCTCTATGTTCCCAAGCTTAGAACAAACATTCTGAGCATGGGACAAATAATGGAGAAGGGAAATTCAGTCCTGATGAAAGACCGAGGCTTATACCTGAGGGACAGAAACAACCGCTTGATAGCCTGCGAGGAGATGAAAGAAAATCGGATGTACAAGCTCGAGTTAAACATCCTTCAGAAAAAATGTTTGAAGCTCGACCATAAGGACGAAGCCATGATTTGGCACTACCGGTTCGGACACCTGAATTTTGGAGGCTTGAACGAGCTTTCAAAGAAGGAACTGGTGCATGGGCTACCTGGTATAAAATTTGAGAAGAAGTTTTGCGAAGAGTGTGTGCTGGGAAAACATCACAGAGTCGGCTTTCCAAAGTCGGCTTTGTACAGGACAGAAGAGAAGCTCGGCCTGATACATACTGATCTTTGTGGACCGATCTCTCCCAGTTCATTCAGTGGTAAGAAATACTTCATATCTTTTATAGATGATTTGTCCCGGAAAACCTGGGTGTATCTCTTACAGGAGAAGTCAGAGGCGTTTGAAGTTTTTAAAAGGTTCAGGCTAATGGTCGAGAAAGAGACAGGCAGACAAATTAAAGGAATTCGGTCCGACAGAGGAGGAGAATTCATATCATCGAGTTTCATGGAATACTGCGAAGATCATGGTATCAGACGCTTCCTCACAGCTCCATACTCACCACAGCAGAACGGAGTGGCTGAACGAAAGAATAGGACTATCATGGATATGGTCCGGAGTATGCTAAAGGGTAAAAATATGCTTGAAAAATTCTGGGCCGAGGCAGTACAATGTGCTGTCTACATACAGAACAGGTGCCCGCACTCAAAACTGAACGGGGCGACACCACAGGAAGCGTGGAGCGGAAGGAAGCCAAGTGTGAGTCATTTTAAGGTGTTCGGAAGCATTGCCTATGCTCATGTCCCAGCTCAACTCAGGACGAAACTCGACGATAGGAGTAAGAAATATATTTTAATTGGCTATGATGAAAGGGCGAAAGCCTATAAATTGTATAACCCGGTTACAAGTAAAATGTTGGTTAGCCGAGATGTACAGGTTGATGAAGAAGGAGAATGGAATTGGGAGAACAGAAGTGCAAGCTCGGATCTCGGCACCGCAAACTCAGACCGAGATAGAACCGAGATTAGAAGAACTGGAAGCTCGGCTATAAGGATAGGAAGCTCGGATAACTCGGGTGGGAGAATCCACGAGCAGATTGAAGAAGAGGACGAGGCTGTGCGACCAAGGACCCGAACCTTACATGATCTGTATGAATCAACTAATGAAATGCATGTAATATGTTTATTAATAGGAACCGAAGAGATTAAGTTCGAGGAAGCTGTACTGGACGAGAAATGGAGAAAGGCTATGAATGAAGAGATTGTCTCCATTGAAAAGAATGGAACGTGGGAACTGACAGACTTGCCCACTGAAACTCGGCCAATTGGGCTAAAGTGGGTCTATAAGAAGAAATATAATGCTGATGGAGAGGTAGAAAGATACAAGGCTCGACTTGTTGCAAAGGGCTATAAGCAGCAGAAGGGCATAGACTATGATGAAGTCTTTGCTCCAGTTACGAGGATAGAATCCATCAGATTACTGATCTCGGTGGCAGCACAAAACGGGTGGACAATTCACCAAATGGACGTAAAGTCAGCATTTCTGAATGGAATTTTGGAAGAAGAGATATATGTGGAGCAGCCGCTGGGCTACATGAGAAGAGGAGAAGAAGAGAAGGTCCTGAAGCTAAAGAAGGCGTTGTATGGACTAAAACAGGCCCCCCGAGCTTGGAACGAAAGAATTGATACCTACTTCCGGAACAATGGATATTGCCAATGTCCGTACGAGCATGCTCTTTATCTGAAAAAGAGTGGCCGAGATATCTTGCTTGTTGCACTATATGTGGACGACTTGATTTTCATGGGAAATGAAGTCGGACTCGTCAGAAATTTCAAGGAAGTGATGATGAAGGAATTCGAGATGACTGATCTTGGGTCCATGAGCTATTTTTTGGGTCTGGAAGTGGAGCAAAGAAGGACAGGGATCTTTGTATCCCAAAGAAGATATGCTGAAGAAGTTTTAAAGAATGCAAGTATGATGGAGTGCAATCCAGTTTCAACACCTATGGAACCTGGGACGAAGCTATCCAAATTCGGTGAAGGAGACAGAGTCGATGCCAACATATATCGAAGTCTGATTGGAAAGCTGAGATACTTGACAAGCACGAGACCTGACTTGATGCTGAGTGTCGGAATAGTTAGCCGATATATGGAGGAGTCGAGATACTCCCACTGGAAGGCTGTGAAGAGGATTCTGAGATACATAAAGGGAACACAGTCGTATGGACTGATGTTTACAAAGTCGGATAGTTTCCAGCTAGTTGGATACTCGGACAGTGACTGGAGTGGAGATATTGATGATCGGAGAAGTACATCGGGATACGTGTTCTTCATGGGAAACACGGCGTTCACCTGGGTCTCCAAGAAACAACCGATTGTAACTCTGTCAACCTGTGAGGCAGAATACATAGCAGCGTCGTGGACTGTCCAACATGCAACCTGGCTCAGAAATCTGTTGAAGGAGCTTGAAATCTCAAAGCAGGACAAGGTGGTAATCCGAATTGACAACAAATCGTCCATTGAGCTTGCCAAGAATCCGATAAGTCATGACCGAAGCAAACATATTGATATTCGATATCATTTCATTCGAGAAAAGGTAAAGGAAGGAGTTGTTGAACTCGAACACGTGGAGAGCAAGAAGCAGATAGCAGACATATTTACAAAACCGCTTCCCATAGTGTTATTTGAAGACTTAAGAGAACAACTCGGAATGACAAGTGGTGAAGCTCGGAACGATAGACACAAAGCTCGGAATACTTAATTGAAACGCCCAGAATGTTAGAATGTGAGCTTAAGTTTACGGGAGGGTTTTGTTGGGTAAACTTAAGATTAGTTAGGAGAATCCGAGATTCTCGGACTGTTTTTGGCCGAGATCAGAAATAAAATATTTTGTGGATCCGGAATTGACGGATCAGTTTTTCGTTTTTGAATTTCGAATTTCATGTACTCGGCCTTTAAAAGGCCATTCTTGCTGATTTTATAAAACAAGTCCCTTTCAGATAATTTGACCTATTTTAACATTATGTACCAAGCTTATGAGCTAATTTGACAGGAACATTTTACATTTTGGAGAAAATTTTCCTTCTCTTGTTCGTGCCGATTGTGTTTGCCTTGTGTGTTGAACAACTTTTCCAAACCTTGACAAGGTGGTTTTTTTGGATGATGATGTTGTGGTTCAACGTGACTTGTCTCCGCTTTGGGAAATTGATCTGAATGGAAAAGTTAATGGAGCCGTGGAAACTTGTAGAGGCGAAGATGAGTGGGTAATGTCTAAGCATTTTAGGAATTACTTCATTTTTTCCCACCCCCTCATTGCACAGCATTCGGACCCTGATGAGTGTGCTTGGGATTATGGGATGAATGTATTTGATTTGCGTATGTGGAGAGCAACAAACATAAGAAAGACATATCATACCTGGTTGAAAGAGGTAAACCATATATACTCAAACTAATGCAATCCATTTATTCATCATAATTTAAATCTCTAACAAATTCTGAATTTTAAATTAATGACGTGGTATTGGTTCAAATGTTTAGGCACATGCATACATATATTACATATATATAGACTAAACCATCAATTTCATCCTCAACTTATTATCATCTCGTGAGTGATACTTAAAGTAATAAAATTATTTTAAGTAGTCCCTAAAATATATAGATTATTATTTATCAATTTATAAGTAGAACACATTTTTAAAAATAATTGCAAACATATCTTTAAAATAATAAAAATGATATAGTTTTAAATTATAATTAATGTAAAATAAAGTATATTTTTTGATAATTTAAAACTGTCAGAGAAAGTATGAGATAAGTAAAAAAATATATTTTTTATAGTTTAAAATCGCCAGAAATTAAAATCAAGTCAAATACGGAGACATTTTTTGGCAGTTTAAAACTGCAAAAAAAAAATGTGAAACAAAATTGTGTATTGTGGTGGATTAAAATCGTTCTAAACAAATTCAAATACATTTTGTGACAGTTTAAATCCCTCACAAATTGATTGAATTTTTTTATTCCTAAAATCAGTATTTAGAAAATAACTGCCATAAACCGTTTTTAATCACCGTAAACCTAACAATTATTAATAAATTAACAATGTTAAAAATGTGATTTGTGACAATTTTTAACCGTTATAAATTATAAAAATAACGGCTATAAATGACGTATTTTTTTGTTTTTTTTAGTAACAGGTCATGCAGGAACCATGTATTGAGTCTTTTGGAAATTAATTGTTGCATCCAATGATTAATGTGCATTTCCAAGGAAGCAAACTGAATTTCCAGCATAACTATAAATTGTGTCCTGCAAAAAATAATCAAAATTTGCAGACCAACTAAAAAAAATTATTCAAAGAGGTCACGTGGAGAAACGGGACAGCAAGTGCGATAAATTATCCTCTGAGAGAAGGTGGGTGGTTGGATAAATTATATGATAGAAACTAGTTAAACTGAACAGAACTGCACCAAAATGTGACTGCACATGATCTGAATCCATAAAAGGACAAGAACCGATTAAAGTGCAGTCCAACTCAGTAGTGTCTGTATATAGCCTGTATACTGGTTTGCTTATTCCAATACCATTGTAGCGCGTCAGCTTAGAGACACCACTTTCCTTTAACTCGGTCACCCAAACCAAAAACTCAATTGGTAACATGTGACATGCATGCAATGTCTTTGGTTTTCTCACTTTCTGTTGATATATATTAAAGACAAAGATTTTTAAATAAAAAATAAAATTTTAAAAGTCTGGAAATTTTGTTTTTTATATGCATGACATTTTCTGTCATTATGTTATCGGGGTACCTGTTTATCGATTTAATCCATATTGGTTAATCTCTAAAATAAAAACATTAATTGGCTACTTTTATTAAGTTCTTTTCCCAATTATTTTTTTTTTCCATGTGCAATTTGCGCATTACATAATATTCAAACTCAATTCTAGAGTATGTTATTGACTCTCTCTAAAAGTTACGGATGTCATCCTTTTCTATTATTTTATTTAAAAATAAATAAAAAAATCAATTCTATTCAAATCAATGTCATTATTAATTGATCTATAAATATTTGATAATTATAAAATTGGAAAAAATAATTTAATAGTATTTTATAATTTATTAAATTTTTATCTTGTATATTATAAGATTTAGAAAATTAGAAATTGAGAATGAATCAAACTCATATATAATAAAATATTAAAATAATTATAATATTAATAGTTAATTTCTTAGTTAATTAATAGTTATTATTACATAGCCTTATTATTAAAGAACTCTATAATTAATAAGGATATTTAGTTTTAAACAATTTAGGAATCAGTGACTTTCTAAAACAGATTTTAAAGTGTAAATGAAGACAAAACACATTGAAAAATCTTATGTTAGTTTGCATGAATATTTTTTTTTTTTGTAAAGATAGGAAAGATTACAAAGATGGTCTCAATGAAGATTGAACCTAGATCCTCATGCTTTTAACTATCCAAACCCCTTCTCACCTAATCACTAAGCTAATCCTAGTGGTCGTTTGCATGAATAGTTGATAATTCTAAAGGTTATCATGCAAACATCTCAAAAAGGATTATTCGCAAAAGATTCTAATCAATGAAAGACTTTTATTAATAAAGAGTTGTATGAAGTTATGTAGAATGTAGTCCCCCAAACAACAATTTTAAGAGATGTTACAAATTGTTTTTTATTTCCATAATTTATTAGACTATTTAACACTTTAATTATCTTCCGGGTCACAACATTTTTACCCCCTCAATTCATTGGAGAAATCCACGGGGGCACCTCTTCTCTTTCATTTTATTTTCTTTATCATTTTTACAAACCGCTCACTCTATTAAAAAAAAAAAGCAAAACAAAACAAAATACATGAAAGCATCAAGTATTTTTTTTCACTAGTATCAATAAGAAGTATTAACAAAGTCATTAATTTAAATAATATTAAATTCACTCTTCTTAAAAAAAATCTCATATTTAGGTCCTATAAATAAAAATATTATAGATATTGAAAGGAAACATGTCATTAAAAATTGTTAATAAATTTGTTAACATTAATAAAGTCGATAAATATATCAAATTAATAATATAGGTATAAAAAAATAATGGAGTATCATGCAACATTTTACCATAATGAAACATAAACCACCTTATATCATATCTCAGCCATCACAGTACTATATATATGACAACTCTCACTTTTTCTGTTTCTATATTTCCTTCCTTTCCCTTCACCCTAGTCCAAAGAAAAGACAAAGAAGCTTGCAAGTGAAAGAAGAGATGGAGGCAAGTATTCCAGCGGTGGATTTCCAGAAACTTTCATCAGATGAAGATGAGTTAAAGAAACTAAGAGATGCATGTGAGAAATGCGGGTGTTTCAGGATCATGAACCACCCCATTCCACTAACACTCATGGCTGACATGAAATTAGTGGCTAAACATTTGCATGACCTTCCCATGGACATCAAAATCCGCAACAAATTAGCTATCCTCCCTGACAATGGCTATGTGTCATTGAGTGTAACAAGTTCTATTTACGAGGGTTTGGCAATCTCTGACATGCATTCATCACCCCATGCAATTGAAGATTTCTGTTCTGAATTGAATGTCTCAAACCACCACAGGTTCCTTTATTTTACTATCTTCTCAAAGTAATATTATTATTTTTTTAATATGTTATCTTTTAAGTTATTTAATCACTATAAATAAAAGGAATATATATGTTAAGCGAGAAAAAATATTTTAGTAAAATTATATTAAAAAGTGATATATTTATTATTAATTTTAATTTCATTACTAGAAAAGTGTCATTTTCTTACGAAAAAATATTTGTAGGAATTTTTTGCGAACATTTCTGCAAAAAAATATTCGCAGAAATTTTTTGCGAATTTTCTTGCAAAAAAATTTTCGCAGAAATTTTTTGCGAATTTTGCTACAATTTTAATAATCATAAAAAAAATTTCATGGTAAAAATTTACAGAAAATATTGTAAGAATTTTATTTTGTTTCTTGCAGATTTTCTGACAAAAATAAATTGGCAAGTAATGTTTACTAAATGGTAGAAAAATTTTGTAGGTAACTTTTCCTGTAGATTTTCCTGCAAATTTTAATCTAAAGGAAAAATAAAAAAATATTTAAATTTATAAGTTTAATATTTTAAAAAAACGTCAAGTCCTACATCGATTAAAAATAAAATAATTAAAGAGTATATAAGTTGGGGCAACACTTACCTTACAAGTTGATTTGTATGGTTGAGTGTTAGACTTATAATCTACAATATTAGAATTTAAAAGATTATCTATCACATGCTGGAGGCATGGAAACAAATGCTTTGGATGAATTCATTGTGAGCATTTGAAAGTTGAAGAATTATTGATAGAATTTATAGTAATTTCTTTAATTTTTTTCGAAAAAAGTATTCCTGCAGAATTTCTTGCAAAAAAATTCGTAAGAAAGTTTCCTGCGAATTTTTTTCTAAAGAAATTTCGCAGGAAAATTTTCTGCGAATTTTAAAATTCGCAAAAATATATTATCCACGAAGGTATTACCTGCAGATAAAATTTTGCAAAAAAAATTTATAGGAATAATGTTTCCTGTGAATTATTCATAAAAATTTACAGAAAAAGTTGCATGTAATAAGAGAAATTTTAGTAGTGTTTTATATATGAAGACTTTAAACTGTAGTCGACTTTATGACAGGAGTATCCTATTGATATTTTAACAAGTGCATTCTTGGTTTACTATGTGTGTATGTCTAACATCAACCATGCATACGTTGATTTGTTTTTTTAATTAACAAATTAGGTGAATACTATCTTTAGAGGAGCTACGATCTATTGAGTAGTTTAATTTAGTATTATTAACAAGGATATATATCGCAAGTGCATGCCCTCTAAAACATAGAGGACCAACACTAAAAGCACTAAGGTCCTTCTCATTCTATTGCTTCAGCTCTTGAAATCATTTGTCACCTGATAGTGTTGTATCTCAGCTGCTTGTAAAGTGTGTAAAGGTGGCATGCCCCTCCCTGCATTCTAAGGGTTTCCAATATGTTTTTAACAGTAATTGAATTATTAATTACACCTCATATTTTATCGTAAATTTTGATCTCTTTAAAATTAATTGTTTATATTTAGTCATTATTTTTTATTATTAAGAATTACAATAATGGTAACATGCTTCAAATTTAAAATCTTATACATATTATTTCAACTCTCACTGTTAATTAAACTGATTATAGTGGTTCATATTTAGTTATTATAGTTATTAATGATAAATTAATTATTCTAATTTTTTTCTAAAAATTATCAGAAATGTAACGTGTAACATGAGATTTATTTTTACTTAAGTTGTCAAAGAAAAATTCATAAAATATTTAAATTAAAATTATAAAAAAAAATATGGCCTTAAAGTTTTGGTTTTGAACATTTTCTATTTTTAATTTATTATTTAAGTCAATGTTTTACATATACCTGCCACCTAGATTCTTATTTGTAGGATTCATTATCATCGTAATTAATTTGTGAAGTGTGTACTACTAAGATTTACATTATTTCAATTTGGCCTTGACAAGTTTACATAGACTCTCATACTATATACCATGAACCAACTATTTTAAAACTTCAGTCGCTATATAAGTCGTTAATATGTATTACTTTCACATATCCTTATCATTTAAGATATTTTAAGAGTTTGATTATATGTTTAACATTGATTAAGTTTGTTTGCTTCCCAGACAAATAATAGAGGCATATGGACAAGCAGTTCATGACTTAGCATCGAGTGTATCACAAAATTTGTCTGAATTTTTAGGCATAAAAGATACCGATTATTTCAAGAATTGGAAATCTATTATTAGGACTATGAAATATAATTTCACCCCAGAAGCTATGGGCTCCATTGGAGCAGAACTGCATTCAGATACAGGATTTATCACACTACTTCATGATGATGAAACTGTTAGTGGTCTTGAGTTGATGGATGAACATTCGAGCTCATTTATTGCCGTTCCTCCTAAAATAGGGTCTTTCTTTTGCATTATCGGAGATGCTGGACATGTAAGCATACCTTAGCAACTCAATTTTATATAAGCTTAATTGCACTTTTTACAATTTTGTTAATTTTGTTACCCAACTTTTAAAATTGTATATTTTTCATTAAACTTTTGAAAATTTTCATATTTTGTCATCCTATTAGTTCTTACATCGGTGATTGACCATTGACATAATATGTTTATTATAAATGTATCATATTCACTGTTGACATAATTTGTTAATGTGTCATATAGATAATAATATAACATATTATAACATGTCAACGATTAACAAATATCATGTCAATGATAATTAATAATATCATAACTATCAGGATGCACACTAGTACATAATACACATTTTACGTCGGTTAGTTTAGGGGTTTTTACGTCAGAAAAATGTCCGACGTAAAAGCGGGAGACGTAAATTTACGTCGGGGCGCGAAAACCGACGCAAATTTACGTCGGACATGTGAAGGTCCGACGTAAAAAGTCATAAAAAATTTAAAAAAAAAAAAAGAAAACAAGTGCAGCAGAACGGCCCGTGCTGCTTGGAGAACGGGCCGTGCTCCAAGCAGAACGGGCCGTACTGCTTGGAGAACGGCCCGTTCTGTTTGAACAGCGGCCCGTTCTCCATGGAGTACGGGCCGTTCTGCAAGCAGAACGGGCCGTTCTGCTTGAGAGACCCAGGAGCGCGTTCTCAGGTAGACTTGGTCACTTCCTTCTCCATCTCCAGCTTCAAAAACTTGAAACAAACAGATGAAAAAAACATCATTTACGTCATAGAACCTCATAGAAAAGCCCAGAAACAGAAAAACACAAACTTGAAGATGGTACCTCGAAAAATTATAAGGAAGGAAAATACACATTTAGTCGTATGAACGCAAACTGCTTGTTTTTGTCGTATGAACGGAGACTGAATGATAGAAAAATTATAAGGAAGGAAGGACCGAAGGAGTAGGAGGCGGAGGGATTTACACAACGAAGAGGGAGAGGGTTTACAGAGAAAAAAATGAAAAGTGATGAAAAGTGAATGCGCGCGGTGTGCCTCGCGCTCTCTTATTCAAATTTGCGTCTTTTTTACGTCGGACCTGGTAGGGTGCGACGTAAATTGGACTTTTTACGTCAGACCTTCCCAGGTGCGACGTAGATTGGACTTTTTACGTCGGACCTTACCAGGTGCGACGTAAAAAAGTTCGCAAAAATTACAAAAATGCCACCGCATTTTTTTTACGTCGGATTTTCGTATTTCCGACGTAAAAGGGGTGACGTAATATACTTATTTTCTACTAGTGGACAAAATATATGCAAATTTTTTAAAGTTTTGTAACAATACGTGAAATTTCAAAAGTTAAGTGAAAATATTTACAAATTTATGAAACATAAGTAACAAAAAGATCAATTAAGCTTTTTATTTCTTTGAATCACTTGAAACTTCATTTTAATATTTGTACACGTTAGTATACTCTCGAAAATAAATATATCTTTGTACAGGTTTGGAGCAATGGAAGGTTTCGAAATGTGAGGCACCGTGTAGTATGCAAGGAAGCAGCTGCTCGTTATTCAATTGGTGCATTTATGTCACCAAGAGATGGTAATGTCGAGGCCCCATCAAAGTTGGTGGAACTTGACCATGCACAACTCTATCGACCATTTAAGTTTGATGAATTGATGAAGATCAAGTATGAAGATTTGAGGGGGTTAAAAGCTACAACAGGAAAAAGTGCTCGTGATGCCGTTAATCAATTTCGCATTGGTTAGGGATTTGTTTGCATGGAAACATATATCACCAACAAAACGATTGAAAAGTAAAGTTGGCGATAAAGTAAATGCTCCATCCATTTTACAAAAGCCATTTAGTTTGGTCTGTCTTTATTTTCCAATTACTTGTGTATGTGTTTATAATTCGGGAATAGTTGCAAGAATCCTAGTACTTATTCATGTTTTGTACCCGGATGGGGAGTGGATGTTTTAATTTAGATTATGTTATTGTGCTGTGTTTTACTTTAGTTTTAAATTGTGTCATTATTGAGTTTGTTAAAAATCGAGAAAAGTGTAATACCTTACCTTTTCTAAAAATCATAAGGTATATTTTAATTAATTTAAAGGTGTTTTACAAAATAATATATGAGCTATAAAAATAATTAAGTATGTTTTATATATATAAAAAAGAAAAACTTTTTGAAAATAATTAAAATATGTTTCAAGAAGGGTTTTGGGAAAGATATATTAATTATATTATAGAGTTATTTTGGGGGTTATGTATAATTGTTTTAATTGTAATGGATTTAATCAAATGTGAGGGAAAAGATGTGTAACTGAAATTAATCTATTTTATCGAAGGAGTTAACGTTGGGTTAGGAGTTAATTGAAAGGAGTTTTGTAATCAAATCTTTTTACACTTCTATCTAATGCTCTTTCTTCTCTCAACTCATGAATTCCCATGAAGAGAGCACCGATGCAGCAAGAGAGCACCTTGAACATCTTTTTCTTTCATCAAGCGTTAAGGTGTCAGGGAGTGAAATTTCTCTCTCTAGGATGTGTGTTATCTATTAGGTAACAAGTTGACCCCAACCTTGTTGTTTGTTCTTCTATGTTCTTGGGACAATTCATGATTTTGATTTGTATACTAAAAAAAAATTCTTTTTCTATGATTTCGTATGGACTTTATGGATGATTTTTGTATTATAGATGAAATGAATTGTGTTGATCTAGATTATTTTTGAATGTATGTGTATATGTAGTTCTTCTAGAAAACTCTTAATTTATAGAGTTAGATGAAGATTAATGAAATCAAAAGATTATGTATAATTGTTTTAATTGTAATGGATTTAATCAAATGTGAGGGAAAAGATGTGTAACTGAAATTAATCTATTTTATCGAAGGAGTTAACATTGGGTTAGGAGTTAATTGAAAGGAGTTTTGTAATCAAATCTTTTTACACTTCTATCTTATGCTCTTTCTTCTCTCAACTCATGAATTCCCATGAAGAGAGCACCGATGCAGCAAGAGAGCACCTTGAACATCTTTTTCTTTCATCAAGCGTTAAGGTGTCGGGGAGTGAAAGTTCTCTCTCTAGGATGTGTGTTATCTATTAGGTAACAAGTTGACCCCAACCTTGTTGTTTGTTCTTTTATGTTCTTGGGACAATTCATGATTTTGATTTGTATACTAAAAAAAATTTCTTTTTCTATGATTTCGTATGGACTTTATGGATGATCTTTGTATTATAGATGAAATGAATTGTGTTGATCTAGATTATTTTTGAATGTATGTGTATATGTAGTTCTTCTAGAAAACTCTTAATTTATAGAGTTAGATGAAGATTGATGAAATCAAAAGATTATTGTGAAAACGATGTATGCGTTTAGTTAATTGATGGCATCAAAGTATGTCTTCAGTGTTAATTATGCTTTTAATTGTTTGACTTGAGAGAATTGAGTTGGGTATGTCTTCAGTGAATTTTCCTCCTAGACAGCAAGTGGCATGCCCGTGCACCATGTTGTACACCCATGTAACTGAAGTTGAAAGGGTCCTATCCAAAACAACAATTAGCATGAACATGCAACCACTTGCACACTTGTGCAAACGTCCAAAATGACTGAATCAACTATTGATGTCTTAATAAGAGTTGTGTTCCCAATCAGGTTGTAGTCACACAAAAAGGAGGTATATAATTCAAATTATGATCAAATCAGTGAGTGAGTAAAGGTCAAATGATCATATTTAGGCTGAAATGTTGCAATGTTGTAATTTGTAAAAATAGTAGATGGTAAAATCAACTCTTGAGATCAACATAGAATTTGTAGATAATTATCTTAACTTTCTAACAAAATTAAGATCAACTCAATTGTAATCTATAACTATGATTATCATGTTTATACCACACAAGGTTATAAAAGCTTAAGATAGGAAAAAACATTTGTTAGTTATAAATGTGTACGTTAAGAACCATAAGAAAACTGAGAGAAACTTTGTCTTATGATTTTTTATGTGAGAGTTTGAAGAATAGTTATAATGAATATATGAGAAATGTTAAGGGTTAAAGTTTTGTGTTTGATATGCTTTGTGATAAACTATTCTAGATTTGTTATGAGCTATTATGTTCAATTGAGATGTTGGTGCTTGTGAGCTATCTAGCCAAGTATGTATATGAGTTCTATGATAGATATGTGATGTGAATGACACGAGTATATGAGTTATGAGTATGAAATTATGTTTGGAAGAAATTATGCTCGAAACTTTGTGTTTATATAGGATATGATTTGCTTTTACTTGAAGTGTATAATATGAAATGTTTATGTGTTATATGAGAACTTTATATGTGATAGGAGATGATAATGTGTGATATGAGAATGTCACAATGATGATATCTATGCATGAGATTGATGAAAAGATGATGTGTATGCATGACATTGACATGAAGATGATGTGTTAAGCAAATAATGAATATAAGTTGAGTCCATGAGATCATAAATTGTTTCATAAAGTGTTGTATGTAAAACTTGCATCATGAATAAGAGTATTTGCCTTCAAGCCATGAGTATTCACCTTCTGGTCATGAGTAATTGCCCTTGGGCCATGAGTATACACCTTTGGACCATGGGTAATTGCATTTGAGCCATGAGTATTAGCCTTTGGCCATGAGTTTTGAGGTCTTTGGCACTACATGCATCTAGATCTACATGAGTTCATGTCCAATACATTGAGTGTAACACCCCAGTTTTTATACTTTTATTGAGGGTAATTTAGTAATTTTCATAAATTTAAAGGGGTGATTTAGTAGCCCAGAATGAGCTGTTCCCAAATTGGAACAGGCCGTTCCAAACTACTAAAATGAGGTTGATTTAGTAGCCCAGAACGGGTTGTTCCCAAACTGGAACGTGCCGTTCCAAACTACTAAAAAGGCCTATAACCATAATTGGGAACAGGTCGTTCCAAACATGGTCGTTATGGGTTAAAATGTTACCCTAGAATGGGCCGTTCTGGTTTTAGAACGGGTCGTTCTGGATGTGAATTTTACACATAACGTAAGAGTCTAGAATGAGCCGTTCCGAATTTGAAACAGGCCGTTCTAGATTTGAAACGGGCCGTTCTGGATTTGAAATTGGCCGTTCCGGCGACTCCTGATGCCTATAAATAGAGCGCTCTAGCACTCCCAAAAAGCAAACTTTTAACTTATGACTTCTTTTCTTCTACACTCTCTGAAGACCGAGGGGAACCCAGCGGAGGAGACTAACCGATCCTGGAGTCACGTGAGGGAATGGGTGGAGAAGAGTTCTTGTGGAATTTTTAATAATTTTATAATTGTTTCTGTTTGGAGAATTATTGGTATTATGAGATTTTGTATGTGTTAAGGATTATGAATATATAATTAATTTGTAAAAATGATGATCTGGGAGAGAGAACGAAATTGTAGAAAAGTGCCTGTGAGTGTAGACACCTAATTTCGTCCGGGAGGCACAAAACAACAAGATAGGACGTCAGAGGGCCCAAAAGCCCAAATTTGCTATTTTTAGCGGCCCGGAACGGGCCGTTCCCAAGTCTGGAACGGGCCGTTCTCGAATTGGAACGGGCCGTTCCGAGGCTTCTAAAAGGCCTAAAATTGTAGATTGGAACGAGCCGTTCTAAACCAGAACACGCCGTTCCAACCTATCAAAAGGGGGCTTAATTTGAACCTTGGAACGGCCGTTCTGACATCAATACGAGCCGTTCTGGTTACCCGGAACGGGCCGTTCTGATTTCAGAAAGGTAAACCATATATACTCAAACTAATGCAATCCATTTATTCATCATAATTTAAATCTCTAACAAATTCTGAATTTTAAATTAATGACGTGGTATTGGTTCAAATGTTTAGGCACATGCATACATATATTACATATATATAGACTAAACCGCCACTTTTGCCACTACAAATTCAGTTAAGAAGCTTTTATGAGCTTAAAATGTAGAATTTATTTACAGATAATATTTAGCTTGGAGTGAGCCAATATAGAAACCATGTTCTAAGGTCTTAGGTCAATCATTCATTTCAAGTTTCATTCACACACTATATATACTATAAAATATAAAAATCACATACAATATAAGATTCTTTGCCAAACCTAATAAAAATGCATTATTCCCATTTTTTTGGGGAATTATGACCCGAAAAGATTCAATTTCACCAATATTTAGAGAAAGGGAACAAACGGATTGAGAAAGAAGACAATGAGCGATAATTGTTGAATCCAACTTACCGCAGGTATGTAAATGCAAAGATAATTGAGTAAAGATATATACTTTGGACTTCTCGCCTGCAACGTGGAGGCAAATTTACATGGATTGGTATCACTAAGATTGGCTTCAGAAAAATGATTCCTATGGTAGTAATTCCTGATCCCATTTTGATTTTCTACGGTTTCAAGCACTGGAACATTTTCTCTAATCATCTGAATTTTAAATTAATGACGTGGTATTGGTTCAAATGTTTAGGCACATGCATACATATATTACATATATATAGAATAAACCATCAATTTCATCCTCACATTATTATCATCTCGTGAGTGATACTTAAAGTAATAAAATTATTTTAAGTAGTCCCTAAAATATATAGATTATTATTTATCAATTTATAAGTAGAATACATTTTTAAAAATAATTGCAAGTATATCTTTAAAAAAATAAAAATGAGATAGTTTTAAATTATAATTATTATAAAATAAAGTGTATTTTTTTATAATTTAAAACTATAAGAAAGTATGAGATAAGTAAAAAAAATGTATTTTTTATAGTTTAAAATCGCCAGAAATTAAAATTAAGTCAAATAGACACTTTTTGGCAGTTTAAAACTGCCAAAAAAAAATGTGAAACAAAATTGTGTATTGTGGTGGAGTAAAATCATACTAAACATTATATCAAGTAAAATTCAAATACATTTTGTGGTAGTTTAAAATCGTCATAAATTGATTGAATTTTTTGACCCCTAAAATTAGTGTTTAGAAAATAACTGCCATAAACCAT